GGCAGGCAGGTGTTCAGCCATCTCCAGGAAAGCAGGGCTCCATCATGCGTAATGGTTACTTGGGAAGACAAACGCCATCACTCCAAATGTCCCCCTCTTCCTTCTTCTTCCCCCAGCTTTATATGCTGAGCATGACGTCACATGGTATGGAATGTCCCTTTGGCCAGTTTGGCTGTGCCCCCTCCCAGCTTCTTGTGCACCTCCAGCCTTCTCAGTCGGTAGAGCATGGGAAGCTGAAAAGTCCTTGACTAGTGTAAGCATTACCTAGCAACAACTAAAACATCGGTGCATTATCAACTTTGTTCTCATCCTAGATCCAAAACACAGCACTGTACCAGCTACTAGGAAGGAAATTAACTCTATCCCTGCCGAAACCAGGACAGTCAGCCTATTACAGCCTGAATACTCCCAGGGATTCAGTTATTTCTGCTTTTGATCCTTCGACGGGACATACTGACCACAGTGGAAAACAGAGAGTTTGAAGATACTTCTATGTATGTCCGTAGCTAGAACTGGTAAAGATGGCAGACATAGGAGAGGAAGAGCAAAAAAGTAGCCAACGGATGAGGATGTCACACTGAAATCCTGGAATACGAGTTGAAATTTCATTCATCTGTAATTCTCCCAGAACAAAATAGTTGAAATGCCAACAAACACATTCCACAGTGCACCAAGGTTGTATCTGCACTGCAGGTGCAAACTCACAGCTGCTCTGGGGAGCGACAGCAGTTCAGCTGTAAGGACAAATCATAGAATATCTCAAGTTGGAAGGGACCCATAAGGATCATCAAGTCCAACTAGGTCAGGATAGATTAATTTGATCCATTTCTTCATTTTGCGGGGGGAAGACGGTCATTGGTTCTCAAAAGAGCTCATTTACAATACTAACATAATACTGTTGGGGTAGACCTAAAGCAAGACTGAACTCTTTCTAGAGTGTATTTGGAATTTTATACAGTTTGGCAGTGGAAGAAATTATACCTATTACTTACTTACATCACCATGCAGCTTCTGTCATGTCCACAAGACTACTAAACCTTAAAACAGCTATCTGGGTACGTTTTGGGAAATCATAAGCAGCAAGTCATTTCCTTCCCCCTAGAACATGCTGGATTTCCAAGCTGACTTCCAAATGGCAACCACAACTAGGACTCCCCATCCATCTTTATCCTGTCTTACACAAAAGGCACCATACAAACAGATGTTTGCTTTTATACATGGTTTTGGCATGGAAAATGGTTAAACAGTTAAAAATTCAGGAAGTTAGGAGAGAGAAACTTTTTAACTTGTCCGTCTGTCTCTCTGGCAAACAGCAGTTTAATACATTAAGTTCTGTGACTTCCTTCCTTACCAAAACCTGTCTCATCATAGTTTAATTCACATGCTTATTACTGTTCTTTTTCAGAAGAGAAAAATAACTCATTTGATATCTAAGTTTCTAATTTTTATTCTAGAATTCAGCAAAAAAGTTAAACTGGCAAAAATATCTGCAAACATAACTCAGCTCAAACCTTGCCTATACACTGTAATCATTCTAAGTGTTTTCAAAGGTAGGGTTTTTTCCTGTGCTTAAAATCCATGAAATCATATAAGCTGCTTTCACCTTAGAAATCTTAAATCTCTAAGTTATTTGTATCATTTTATGGGAATGATCAAAAAGAATTACTAAAGTCAGTGGAAAGCTTCCTACTTTAGGGTAGCAAGCTAACATTAAAATATAAACCACTGAACCACTGAG